AACATGTTTATGCACAAATTAAAGTAACGATACAAGGAAAAGGTGTTAGCAAAAATAATAATAAAAAGGAAGAAATGCTTGTTAGTGAAATATGAAAAGATTAAATTCAACTGATAAATAAACCCTAAAATACATTAAATAAAACATACAGAGGAAATTAAAATCCTAACCACATAATTTCTAGTTCACATGCATTTATTAAAAAATATCTATCGAATAATTAAAAGACGAAAGTTAGAGTTCATTTCTCCTTGGTGTACACTTATTTAGGTACCTATGGACAGAGTTTCAGCGTGGTCTTAGATATGGTGGGTTTCTAAAGTTTACTATATGTAGAGTTTTGGTTATAGGAGTAAAGATACTCGAATTGTCCTTGTTGGTGCCCCCTTAGGCGAGTCAAACCCTCAATCCTCACCCATTATAGGCTTAAGCGAATCGAGTTCAATTCAAGAGAGCATATTTCTCTATGCCTGACACGGAGAATAAATCCTCATGAAGACATAGGGTATATGAACCCCGAAAGCTACTTGCTAGGTCTGACACGGAGAATAAATTCTCACGAAGACGTCGCTTCCACTCCCACTTAAAGAGGAAGAGCTTGGGTATAGAGCTTATGTTATGCAATGCACATATTGTGTGTGAGGAGAAATTATCAAACCTTTGATAAACAACCGCACTAATATCGAGCCTAAACGAATCCAAAATTTTAATATCTAAAAAACAATCAAATACAAACATTAAAATACAATGATAAAAAATAATAATAAAATAATTGAAAGAAATCAAAAGAATTATAAATTAAATAAAATTGAATTCTCAATTTCCAACTATAAGACAACATATAATCGATTTAGGGCTTGATCCACTAAGTCCCCAGCGGAGTCGCCAAGCCGTCGACACCGTTTTTCCGGGCGGGGAAAAAACTTAGTATGACTTGGGAGTTTTCTTTGAAAAGGTTTTGAAATATGAGGAGTCGCCATCGACCTTGAGTTTGGTAGGTCGAATACCTAAAAATTTTCTTTTAAAACATTTTTAAGAAAACATCATTTTAAAAGATAAACCAGTCTGCGTATAACCAGAGATTCATTCTTTTTGAAATAAAAAGGGGTTCGGGGATCGATTACGTGTAAGGAAGGATAAACACCCCCCAATGCCCAAAATTGGTACCCTATCGATTATAAATTGTCTCTAATAGTGGAAATCAAGAATTTGAATATGAATTTAAATTACGATCCCATTATTCCAAATTCAACCAGACAATTTTTATTTAATGGAAAATTCTAAGGAGAAATGAAAAATATTCTAATATTTCCAATCGAAGAAAAAATAATCCTTAAAATATTTTATGACGAATATTTCTCTTTCCAACTGAAATAAAACTTCTCCCAAGAATTCGAGATTAAACAATTTGATTTAACCAAAATAAAAATTAAGGCAATTAATCCAAATTATATTAATCATGATAGATAATGATAGTTTAAAGTAAAATGGTAAAAATATAAACACAATAAAAGCAAAAGACCAAAAATAATTATCACACAAATATAAGTAATTAAATAAATAAATAAATTCATATCATAACATAAGGACCAAAATGCAAGATAGAAAATTTTATAGGTCTTATAACAAGTCATGACTAATATACAAATATCATATAACATGAGTATTAAAACATAATAAAATTAAATTACAAACCATATTGTGTAATAATTACAGGACTAAAACTTAATATAAGCAAAACATAGGGGATTAAATTGGGAATAAAATCAAAATCAACACAAAGTCAAACTTAGTGACTAAAACAAAAGAAACAAAAAGTAAAATGCCAAAATTAAAACAAATAAAACAGAGAATATAACATGTTAGTGACTAAATTGAAACAACATAAAAATACGATCTCATAATCAAATGAGGAAATGGTGGCTAAATTAAAATAAATACAAACAAAGTGTCATAAATAAAATAAAATAAAATAAAACACAGTAATAACCAAAATAAAATAAAACATAATATGGAGCTTAAATCAAGACAAACAATAAAAACTGAATCTAGTGACCTAAACATAAAACAAACGAAACATACAGGGACTAAACTGAAAATAATCCTAGGAATATATAACAGAAATAGAAAATGGGAAAACTACAAAAACAATGCCTTCAGGTGACCCTTTTACAAAACACGCTTAACTTAGGGGGACATATGTGCAATTTCCCCCTTAAGTTTTCTATAAATACCATCTTTTCTTTTTTTTCAATTTTTTTATTTTAAATTTGATTTGAGAGAGAGAGGGTATCCCCTCTCTAGAAAATTAGTGAGCAATCGGTGGTACCTTCACCGGTTGTCGTCGTGCCGATCGTCACCAGCCGCCACTATTGTTGGTGGCCGATGGCCACCAAATTACACCGGAGATCCGTCTTGGCCTCCCCGTCGTAAATATAGGGTCGATTTCGTGAGAATCAGCCTCGTGTGTCGTAAAAATGACGAAAATTGTTCAACCTTCTTCTCCTCGATCCGTCGCCATCCGCCATCGGATCGTCCCCATTTTGAAATATGTTGTTCTTCTCACCAAGGCACACCTCCTCACCACTCAGATCGTCGATCATAGATCACCGTCACCGATGAGATTCCGACCGAATGGTAAGGATCCCTATTTTTTTTGTTTGTTTTCTTTTCTTCTTGCTAATATATATATATATATATATATATATTTCAAATAATAAAAAAAGTGAAAATTTCTTCAACTGTATTTTTTATTGATGATCAATTCCCCCGTGTTTCAATTTGATTTTATAACCCATTACAGTAGTACTAGCTAAAAAATAAAATATGACTTGGCTTTGCCTTTTGGTGGTGTCAAATGATGGCTGTTGCAGGGAGTTGGACGTGATGGAGCATGGGCACAAGTATGGTGTAGTTGGCAACTTCACATGGGCATGGTGATCATTGTGGGTGGCAGGGAGCAGGGTCAGTCACGTGGGGTAAGAAAATTGGTGCTTACAAGATCTTATGAATCAGCCGAGAAAGCAGCCCGTTCTTTTTACGCCCCTTTTTTTGTTTAGGCGACCGATCTGCGAAATTCAATATCCCCGAAGATCCACCCGAGATCGCCAACGGTAGGTCTTTGACATGGATTCAAATCCAAGTCTCCGCAACCCATTTCGCGAACTCGTAGCTTCCGATGGTCCAATTGGAGTAATCCAACTCTGGGTATCAAACGGGATCTCCATCGCCGTCAGTTTCGGACGGGACAGTACAGTTGGACAGTGAGTTGCCTATGGATGGGTCGTTTTTGGATCTCTTGACAACCGGTTCGGGTAATTACGGGTCGAAATACGGAATGATATTCCCTGGTTTTGATGATTTCTCAAGTGATTTTTTCGGATCAACGTTGACCAACATCGGGTACGAAGAGGACATTTTTGATGGGATTTTAGTTGCAGATATCTTTAGGATTTCTAAAAACGGGTCAACCTGGGCGTTTTAGCATCCAGTTTGGATCTGAATATTTGACCGGCCCAATTTTTTTACAGCCCGGCCTTTTTGCTTTTACTTGGAGTAATGTAACTATTTTTTTTTTATAGAAGCAATTAATTTTATTCAAAATAGAAAATATCCTAAATTAAAATAAATATTTACAATCACAATAGTAAGTTAAGCACATAATTAGGAAAATTTCTTATAGTCATTGAAACAAAACTAATAACTTAAGATCACATATGGATCATACAAGGAAAGATTAAATCTAACCAAGAGACTCGAACAAAGATATATACAAACAGATCTGATCGTATCGACAAACAAATCAAAAAAGAAGATCAAGTTATTGAAATATCACAGACAAACAGCAAATCAGACTCGTGCAAATTGGGTATCCAAATCCAATATGAGGGTCAAAGCAGGAAAGATCACAAGATATTAGATAAATGTCATCTTAGTTAGTTGTGACGATGTCAAATCAACTCTTAGAAAAAAGATAAATAAAAATGGCCAAAGAACCGAAAACATATCATAAAGGCAGATGAAAGCGTACAACACATGTAAACTTATTGAAAATGAAAAAACAAAAGAAAATATGATACAATATAGAAAATAAAAATAAAATAAAAAATACCAAATGTCGGCAACTAATATTAAAATTAATGTTACCATCGATTAACAAAAAAACGAAATAGAAAAGAGATGAACGACAGACACGTCAATGAAAGAAAATTAGTTTTTTTTATAGATGTAATTATTATTTTTATATACTCCATATTTAAAACTATTTAAATCATTCTCCACAAATAAATCAAAAGACTAAATTCAAATGTATCTGATTTCATATTTTCTGTATGTTAAAGGAGTAATAGTGTCAATCCATTAAATTTAAAATATTAAAATAACATATATATATATATTAAATATATATGTATATATATTATATATATTATATTTATATATATATTATATTCTCCGCCTCTGGAGCAGACGCCCGCCACCACGACCCCTGTGCCTTTTCCGTCAAAACTATGTTTAAACCATCCGGTATACCCGATCGGTGCTGCCACTGCCAGGATAATGAATGAAAGCGGCATTCATAATCCTAAGCTGGCCATCAATGATAATGGCATTAGCATCATTGACGGCTGAACATGAGTTCAAATTATAGTTATGGTCGAATTTTCGGTTATACTATATTTACCGCGATAATAAATGTTTCGGTTTTATCATGTTTATCACGATAATAAATATAACAGATGCTATTCGAGTAGTACCACCGTATAATAATAATTTCAAACGGTGAGGGAACAGATGAGCATCGTGTTCACCTTGTCCCCCCTGAGCGCGTGGGATATTAGCTATTCAAATCCTTAACCTATTATCTTGGCGGGTTTAGCTCTTTCTTCGGGGTCCGTAGAACTGGTGTGGTGGGAGTCCAACTCAACTGCTTCGGAGAGTGAGGCGCGTGCTTTTCAATATTTTTCCGGAAAAAACCAATATTCTAGAAGTCTCTAATAAACTAATAAAACTCTTTTTGTAACACACTAGGGTTTTTGTCTTCCAAGCAGCCAAACCAACCCAGCCCTTATCCTTCCCAAAACCATCTTCTTCAAAGGTATAATCTTTTCTCTCCTCTTTAAAAGTCTGGGTTTTATTATCAATCGATATTTGGTTAGAGGAATTGAATTTTCTTTGCTTCTTGAGCAATTTTGAATACAGAGAATGGCTACATCTCAACTAACAGCACCGTCAGTGACGGCATCAGCAAGGAACTTGGCTTCATTTGAAGGGCTTGGGCATTCCACTGTGAAATTCGCTTCCTTTGGAACATTAAAGCCTGGGACTTTGACCCACAGGTCCTTTAAAGGATTGGTTGTTAAAGGGGCTACCGTTGTTGCTCCTAAAGTAATTCTTCTCATTACTCTGTTGATGCTATTGGTTTGTTGTTTTTGAGTAAACTTGATGTTGTTTTCTGGTTATTTTTCAAATGTTGATTTATAGCCTTATGTATTCTCATATTTGAATTAGACTTTACATGAATCTGTTGCTAATGGCTTAATTGAATTGCAAAAATGGATTAATCTAATACAAATTAGTGTAGCGAAGGTGATCATTTGTTCATCTCCTTGTATGTATTTTGCTTCTCTGCTTACATGAGACCATCTTATTGCTCTACGCAGTACACTTCGATTAAGCCATTGGGTGATAGAGTGTTGGTGAGGATCAAAGAAGCGGAGGAGAAGACCGAGGGCGGCATTTTGCTTCCGACGACTGCTCAATCGAAGCCTCAAGGAGGTGAGGTAGTTGCTGTTGGTGAAGGGAAGACTGTTGGGAAGACAAAAGTGGAATGTTCTGTGCAGGTGTGTTTCAAGGATTCGATATGCTTTCAAGTTTTTTCCTTCTATTTGTTGCTCCATTATCATACTTTTACAGAATTCTTTGGTTGTATTAGTCTGGAGCTCAGGTCATATATTCCAAGTATGCCGGGACGGAGATCGAGTTCAATGGTGCAAATCATCTTCTCCTAAAGGAGGAGGACATTGTTGGGATTCTTGAAACGGATGACATCAAAGATCTCAAGCCTTTGAACGAAAGAGTTCTAATCAAGGTTTGCTTCCTTTCAATCTGTATGTTTGGTTGCTTCTACAATGTTGTGTCGGAGTTTGGATTAGCTAGGGTCCATTAATTTCCAGTGCACCTTTGATCACCATTCACAACTGGTTATAACACATGTGAAGAGTAACAATTCAGTGTATTGGAAAGTAATCGACTGAAAATGCAACGAGTCGGATATTTGTTTTTGTGGTATACGAGCCGAAGCACTGAATGTTGTGTATGGATTTTGTTGCAGGTTTCAGAAGCCGAGGAGAAAACCGCTGGAGGTTTGTTGCTGACGCAGGCAACCAAGGAAAAACCATCCATTGGCACGGTGAGTGACAGTTACACGTTTTGGGATCAGGGCATACAACCTAGTGCTAAAGGTGCAAAAATGTATTACTCATGCCCTGCGTAAAATGTAACAGGTGATAGCGGTCGGACCTGGAACTTTAGATGATGAAGGTAACATGAAACTGCCATCGGTCGCAGCCGGAAATACGGTCCTGTATTCGAAGTATGCCGGGAATGATTTTAAGGGCAACGACGGTAGTGATTATATTGCTCTGAGAGCATCTGAAATAATGGCTGTACTGTCTTAGATGTCTAGTAAGATTGTGGTTTAGGTTTCCAAGTTAAAACTGAATTCAGCGGATTTTGAGCATCTGAGTTCACTTTGAATTTTCAGATTTAGAATAGCCAAAATATTAAGAAAATAAAATGACGTCTTTTTTAAAAAAATTACAATATTCTGTTTATTTATAGATCTAATTTTTATGTGGTATAAATTTTATAATATATCAAAATAAAATAAAATATTATAAATATAGAAGACATGCTAGGTGAGATTCGGATTTCAGATGATATATAAGGACCGAAATAATTTGTTTCAGAATTTGTAAAATGCTGTAAATAACAAGAGGGGGGGGGGGCGAATGAAAAATCTATGGTTATCAGCAATAATTGAAAGGGTATCACTACCCTTAGATCTGCGCCACGTGTGAGAAAACAAATGGTGATGGTGTAGTGCAGGGTGTGTTCGAGATCAGGTATCAATCATTAGACAAAATACAATTATAAAGATCGGTCACACCACAAAAGCGACCTTTGCTTTAAATCATTGTAGGGTTAATTGCAGCATAAGTCTTACACTATATGGCAAAGTGTTTATCAGTCTAAAATTTCAAAAACATCCTAATCGAGTTCTCATAAATATCTTTATAGCAAAATTTAAGTCCCTTTTTTTTAATCATTAGACGTTAGTTTCTGCTTCAAAACATATTCAAAATAGCACGAATTAAACTTTACTGATATTACATTTTTAATACATAATTTTGACTTATTTATGTACCGAATTCATATATATTTTAAAAATTCAATCCATTTGTTATAAATATGTTTTTATCAAATTAAAATTAAAATTTGACAATCGAACGAACAAAAATTTTGATATGATATTTTTTGGTTAATCTAGGGTGATATTTGTATTCAAAAGATTTGATTAAAATGTGTTTAAAATTTCTAGGATAAATTTAAGATCTAAATCATAATCCAAAGATGTTTGATGTGATTAACCCGGTTATTTTTAATATATATTAACATAAGGGTAAAGTTTATAAATAGCCCACAAACTTTTAGGCCTCTTACATTTTGATCACCCAACTTTTAAAACTAACAATACAACTATCAAACTTTTATTTCATTTTTAGTAAAGTTCCGATCGTTAACTCCTGTTATTTTTTGCTGAATTGGTACTTAGCCCCGTTATTCCTTCCATGATGTAGTTCGGGGTGCGATTCCATAAATTATACTGATTTTGAGCGTGTTTGATCCCGCGTAGGGGAACGGAACCACTAAAACGGGTTCGATGGAAGATAATACAGAATTTGAGCATTATGGATCCCGTAAGTGTCGTTAACTCTTTAATATAGGACAAAAAAAATATTATCGATTTTATTATTATTTAAATAATAAAATAGTAAAAATTTATCGAAAATATTATTATTTCTACCGGTTTTATTATTATTGGGCGTTTTACTGGTTTTGTTATTATTGGACGTTTTATTGATTTTGTTAACAAAATCAGTAAAGCATTACCGATTTTTTTCTACCAATTTTATTATTGTTAGTCACCTTACTAAAAATATTAAAAAATATTATTGTTTTAAGTAAAAAATAATAAGTTTTTACTCATTTTATTATTTAAATAATAATAAAATTATTAATATATTTTTTAATTATATATTAGCAGTTTTCAACATTTGCTACCTTTTGTGGAGGAGAGAAACAGCTTCAAATACCTCTGTACCACCTCTTGGCTAAGGTTTTTGATCATTTCTAAGTTATGTCAGGGAGAAGACCACGCCCGATGATCGGCCAAGTGTCTGAATTATTGGTCTCCGGCAAAAATCCCGGATTTTTCTCGGATGGTGCTACAGGCCCCACAGGTTCATTAGATATCAAAACTCCATCACCGAGAGGTGTGAAGAGATTTGATGTTGGTGGGGTTGGACTAGGAATCGTTGCTGCACTTGATAAGTCCAGCGCAGATTCCTGTAGGCATGCTATTTGTAGCTCAGATTTGATTGTTGTCAATTCTGGGAGGAATTGTGATGGATTTAGGGGAAGATATGAGGATTTAGAGATGGAAAATTTGGAGGAGATTACTTATGTGATTAGCCATGGATCTGGGAAGTCATCATCTACGAAGGTGTATTATGGTGGTTGTGAACAAAGGAGAAAATGTAACAATGGAGCAAGATTTGTGGAAGAATTTAGTTACCCAACTTCAGATTTTCTCAGTTGTTGTCATCTTTGCAGGAAACAGCTCCATGGAAAAGACATTTACATGTATAGGTTTTTTTTTTTAAAAAAAAAGCAATACCCTTTGCCTCTTTTGTTATGCTGTTGCTTTTAGTTTAGTCATTTCTGGATTCATTTTCTTGTTGAATTTATGATGATTTTGGTGGTTGTTTTTCTCAGGGGAGAGAAAGCTTTTTGCAGTTCGGAGTGTAGGTCAAAGCAAATAATGATGAGAGGAAAGAACGATGCAGATCAGAAGTTTCAAGGTCTGCAAAAGTATCAACGTCTTGTACTCCAGGGGAGATCTTTTTCTCAACTGGGATTCTTGCAATTTAGCCTTACCAACCAAGCTTATAATTTATATCTACCGGAAAATATACTACTTTATGAGGATTAATAACTTTGTTTAAAACAAAAAACAAAAAAAGAGGAAATTTTGGTCGGATTGGAGCAGTGATGTATAGGTTGTAATGAGAAGAATTATGGAATTTAATGAAGAAACGAACTTCCTTTTGTACTATACATTTTTCATATTTTTTCCCCTTTTGAAGAGAAGATGACTGTGAACTGGGGCAAGGTTTACTGCCTAACTGTCTACCATACGGTGCTTCTAAGGTTCGCCATAGCCATGTGCATGGAAAAGCCCAAGGATGAATACTTATTAATCAAATACTGTAACCTGCAATTTTTTTGTCTATTAGAACCATCACCACCTAAAGAAAAAATCACCCATTATCCATCCATCAGACATCATAATACTGAAGTGCAAGAGAAATTTGATATTGCTACTAAAAAAATTATTAAAAGTTTCCATTGAACCCTAAGGATGGTTACTTATTAATCTTCACAACAGTTTTACTGCTTAATTGTCTACCATGCGGTTCTTCTAAAGGTTAGCCATGTACATTCATTGTTCATGCTATTAGGTTACAAAACCAGTAACTGGAAAATTTTGTTCATTAGGCGGGGAAACTTGGCCATGGCAGAACCAGTAAACTTGTTCATTAATTAACTACTTGTATAATTACGACCCCTCGCATTCATTCTTTAATTCCGTTCCTATGTATATTGTATTGAAAACTGGAAACGATAATAGTTCATAGGTATTTTGGAAACTGATAGTTTAGAAACCATTAAAGCAGCACAAAGGTTTTCGCTCGGTCATTGCTCGGGTCACACTTTTACAACATATTGAAGAGTTGATTAAGAGAGATTGGATAGTACGATTTCAACACGTGCCTAGGCAAAGCAACAAAGTCGCGGATTGCATGGCGATGATAGCAGACAGGAACAACCTTGATTGTGTCAAATCCCGAAACATCCCCGATATGGTGTTGACGGTACTGCATGAAGATACATCGTAGCTGTTTAGTTTGTGTCCAATAAAATGGGTTGATCATTTAATTTTTTTTTTTATAAGTAAAGTTTATTCATCCAAAAGAGAGCAACATAGCTTCTACAAGAAACATATACAAACAGCTAAATCAACCCCAATTTAGCACAACCGCCTATTTACAGTATCAACCCTATTAATGTGATTCCTATACAGCTTGGTTCTAACCACCTCCCGTATATTATTTACAATTGTGTCAACAGAACGCATCACTCCCCTAAAACTCCTGTGATTACATTCCTCCCAAATAGAGTAAACAAACCAGGCCCAAGCAAGCTTGAGGATATGAACTAAAAGGGATTTCCCTTTAAAGTGCAAAACCATCCAGCGAACCTCATCATCCCAGCACCCCAGCACCTGATGCTGCAGTTCACAAGCACTCATAACAGCTCGTCATATCTCACACGCAAAGGGACATTCACGGAAGAGATGATTGCGAGATTCCTGTCCAACCCCACACAACACATACACATTGTTTTCAATCGCAATTCCAAGCCTGATTAGTTTCTCTTTAGTAGGCAGCCTATCAAGTAGAACTATCCAAGCAACAAGAGAGAGCTTAGGAAAATGATTAGAAAACCAGATGAGTATGTGCCATGCAACCTTGTCTCTTCTGTTTCGGATGCTATTCCATATCCACCTGCTTTGAGATAAGGTTACAAGCCTTATCTCTCAGTTTAATCAACTTGTTTAGAATCCAGCTGAAATGCAACTTACTAACAACAGTCCAATAGTCAGCTGTCTTAAAGCAATAACCTTGATCCAAGCAATCCATAGTGACCCTTCCCCAGCAAGGATACTCTTAATAAGCATTAGACAACAAGCTTTGCTCCAATCAACAAGCTTCCTTAAGCCCAATCCACCCTCAGATTTAGGTGAGCACACCTGATTCCAGCTCACTCTAGCACCCCTTGCAGAGGAGTCATTGCCTCTCCAAAAGAACCGCATGCAAAGTCTCTCAACATCCCTTATAACACCCTTAGGCAGAATAAGTTGTCTACTCCAATAGCCAAATAAGCTGAACAGAACAGACTTCACGAGCTGAAGCCTGCCCCCATAGATAAGTTTTCTGCTAGACCACTTACCAATTCTATCCCTTATTTTCACAAGCAAAGCCGAGCAGTCCCTGCTAGTGAGTTTGCGCGTAACCAAGGGCACCCTTGGTATCTAACAGGGAGTTGGCCGATACTGAAACCAGTAGCTCCCTGAATCAGTGCAACTTTATCCACTGACATTTCACAAGCAAAAAACTCAGTCTTCATGGCATTCAATCTTAAGCCCGAAAGTTCATAGAACATGTCCAAAATACTGACAACCCCCATCACAGAATCCAATGACCCATGGCAGAACAAAAGGAGGTCATCAGCAAAACAAAGGTGTGTGAGGGGAATTCTTTTACATTGAGGATGAAATCTGAAAACCCCATTATTGGCAGCAATATCCAGCAATGAAGATAGAACATTCATCAC